GGAATCGTTTTAGTTCATTCAACGGAGAATCATTTCAACTCATACTTTGTAGACTCTGAATAGTCTTAACTCACAAACTAATATTTTTTTCATTATTGGGGACTCTTATGTGAGTTTTAAAGATTGCAATTTGTTTTCAAAAGGCCAAAATTGTTAGCAACCTGGTCCAATTGAAAAATGGTGAATGTGGCAGACTTCCTTCCATTCATTTCTCACAAGGAACTTCCAAAAACGAAACTTCATGCTCAGACTACAACATACGCTATATTTCCAAAAGAATCCACCCATCTGCTTATGTATGAACTTGGTATGCGCTTGAAGTTTGAGGCGTTCCATCCATAGAACCTAAGACGACAGTAGACCACACTTTGTTTATATAATGGATTCTACTCTTGTGGCAAGACTTTCCAAATATGACTTTCCAAATTCATCGCAAAAGGGTTGGGATGAGATCCTGACCTGTGCAGCTCAGTCCTCTACACAAATCTTCCATCCACTTCCTCATCCACTTCTTTATGGACTTTGCTTCACTCAACGGAATTCCTTCTCTGTCCTGTAGGAACAGTTCCTACAAATATGGGAATATAGAAATGTTCAATTTCCTTGTTCAAAGGGTTGCGTGCTTTCACTTGGTGATTACTGGCTTAAATGCAGCTGATTGTCCATGAAAACACATTCCATGCTGTTCTCTTCACACCTTACTAGAGCTGATCTGGATGCCTCAAGAAGTTTGAGGTCTGTAGTGTTTGCTTGCAGATTGTTGCCAACCTCTATTTGCCTTTGCACCTGTTGGCTGTGGTCATTCCCAGTTAACTTTTCATGGTGAAAGTTCAGAGCTGGTTTGGTTTTTTCATACAATCACTCTTGGAATTCACTCAGATTCAGAAAAAAGTCTCATTCTTTCAACTAATGGAGCTTTTCCACTGCATGGTATAGAACAGTCCAGTTCAGTAGGAATTGGTTTCCTTACTTTCCATTGGATCAGAGTGGATGTCACAGATTTGTGCCGCCTCCAGCAAGATAAGGTCCTGTTTTGTGTTGTTTATCACAGCTTTTCTAATGTTGCTGTTCATGAAGAACGCGTGCTGTTTTGCTATCGCGTGTGACAACAAACTGAGTGTGGTGTGTTTCGCTGTTCATTGGCACAGGTAGTAATGAGCCTAGTAAGCGATCTGCAGGGTCTAATGTCACAAATACTCTGGCAAGTCCGAAACAATTCAACCACTTATCAAAATGGGCACCAAAAAAGTAACAGTACTAAATGCAGGATGCAGCGGAATAAAAATATTTGAAATCTGCTATCCGAAATAGTACTCATCTATTTTTATCTCAAGGAATTTTTTTTTTCTACGCCAATCCTCAACATTTTTAAATAACTTTTTTTTTGTACAAATCAAAACCTGGAGTTTTCAGTGGAATTCCAGGTGGAATAATGAGATGAATTGTGCTACATCCCTAAAGTTTGGAAAGTAACAAACTGTCTGAAGGTAAACAAGACTGTCCAGATCAGTTTCCAAACATTCAATCTTTTTACAAATTTAACCCTTCTTTCTCTTACGCTGTTTCCAATCATTACAGGATCACCTGAATGTCACACACAAAGTTTAAGAATAATTTACTGCAGAATGCTATAATTTCGTTAGAACAAACACACCCAAACAGAAAACGTATCGGACACGCATTGAAATATACCTTTGATTTATGGCAAGTGATAGCTGAAATGATACTGCGCTCACACGTTGCTCTGATTATGCGAGAGATATAGCCCTGTTGTGATTGGTCTGATAGCTGGAGGCCATGCTGAGATGTGAAAGGAAGTGACACGTTGTCACAGGTGCACAGATGCAGAAAAGATAATTGCACAGCGGGCTCAACTATGAGAAACAGACGTGTCAACATCACTGCCGTAACACCCGATCGCGAGCCAGCTTCGTCACTTTACAGATTTTAGATCGGTGTCAAACCTGCGGCGAGAAATAGGTCACAAATCAACACCAATGGTCAGCCTTCTGAAAAAAAGGCATTTGGGTGATTGACAGCAAGGGGTCTTGTGTTTCTGGCACTCAAATTCTCAGCTGCGACCCCGCCACGGGGAACGTCACAGATGACTCACTTTATCAGTTCAATCGTCACTATGTTTGACAGTCACTCCTTCCATGAGGCTGTTGTGAGAAGCCGGCTGGAGGCCTCCGCTTGCTCTGTTTCTGCACCCGCTGACATTACTGGAAATGACTTAAAGAAAAAAATGACTTTGAAATCTGTGCACAATTAATTTCAGCTAATGAAGATACAAATACAAATGCTGCAAACACAATGCAAAGTGTATGGATCTCTGCCCCCTATTTTTACGTTGCTTGTCTGTGTGTGAGATATCGAGCCATTTGTATGTATCCGTTTCCTGGAATGTCTGACAGCATGTTATGTGGAAATGGTTTAAACATGGAGCAGGAGTTGTGTCTAGCACCTTCTTCATTTGTTTATACATACATACTATACACCTTCTTGTGAATCACATTAGGAAAACAGTGGCGCTTTCCTCTGCTCAGATACACACCAATGTCAGTCACTAATCATTCAATGTCAGGACTACAACCAGGATCCTTCTGTCTGTCAGGGGTTGGCAAAGCCTTCATCCTATATTCCTTTTTGTAAGCTCAAAAAGAAGGAAATTTACTGCATAATTGATTTCCTCCCTCGTCCACTAAACAATCAGATTAACTGCAAAGCTTCTCATTTCCTTGTAGAGCAAACGCACAGACTCCTGACAGCAAACGTTTTCTTCTTCACTCAACGTTTAAACAATTATAACACAATATAACACAATAAATGGAAAAGTAGCAACACCTCAATTACCAAATAGAAATGTACTGAATGAGACTTTATGATCTTTGAGAGTCGTCTATGAACTCCAAATCTGGATATAGCCATTTTAAAAAACGGTAATCCACTTGGTCACGTTATTATAGCTTTGAATGAAATGCTCTGTGCAGATATTCGAAGTTCGGACCACTGGGTGGGGTTCGCTCACAAGGAGGGTTGTTGTGGAAACACAGTTGTGGGTGGAACAGGGGTAAATTGAGCATTTGGGGAAGACTGAATATATAAGCTGATTCAAAAACGTTTATGAAAAATATTATGTTTTGAAAGTTATAAAAGGAGCAGTGCTAGTCTAAAGGGGTCCACCTTTCATTCTAAATCCATTGAAAAAATCCAAATACAGGAGCTTTAACAGATAAAACCCTGGTAAATGTAGATAATGTGATAAAGTAGAAAAAGTGTCTACTTTATGGAACTAGGAAATCAGTTTTCCACATCCATTAAATGGATCAGCAAACAGCCCACACCAGTTTCCACAGGTGGCATGGCACATTATAACTTACATTTCAGATTCTTTGTTTAAAATGTAATAATTAAATAACGGTCAATCAAAAAAGGCTGTGAAATATAATATAGCTCCTTTAATCAATTGCTTCCTAGTGTCCAGACATACATAGTTACTCGAGGGTCTTGCATCACCAGTGAAAATTCCTCTAGAAATTCAGCTCATTGACTGTTAAGCTTCCGTGACATCCCCATGTACACGTTGTACATGGGGTGGTGGTTTAATTGTTTACATTTGACGTGTGACTGCTTTAATTAACGTTAGAGAACTCCCCAACCATGACCATGTAATGCAAGGAATGCATGAAAAAGTGTGTAAACTATAAATACCTTATAAATGCATCACATCCCTTGGGTGATCAAGCTTGTTAAAATGTAATCTCATTGGTTGAGTAATAAAAATCAGATAAATGATTGTTTTAGGGAATAGTGGGTTGCAACCACAGATCCACATTTTGAGAGACAGCAATATTTACACAATTACTTTTTCTTGGTGTAACCAAATCTAATAACAATACTCACACTGTAATTGTCTTTAAATGCAATAAATAATGTGCTCTTTGAGAAGTTAAATGCAAAAGTAATCAACAATAATTGAAGTAATTTTGTTTCAATTGTAGGTGGCTTTTGATTATTGGAATAGTTATACAACAGCTCAGAATGACTCATCGAATGCGACACATGGTTTTTGAGAGAAATGTATTTAAATGCAGCTTCATGTAATTGGTTTCTACAGATAGAATAATGTTTCTTGCACTCAATCACTTCAAACTAATTCATTTGAAACAGCTCTGTTTCTGATAGCAACCAAATGCTGGGCAGATAACGGCTGACCTTGGCTTGGGTCTTGAGATTTGTTTTATGTCAGAGTCTCTCACAGATCAAGTGTGACCCACACCGGGACCACTACAACAAACTCTAGCCATCTGTTATCCAACTGAGCCACACTCTGCTGTTTTACGGCTTATTTTACAGCAAAACTGGGGCATTGAGTTTTGATTAAAAATCTAAATTGTCAGGTTTCCACGAATCTACAGGGTGCCTTTTACGACAGTCATTTTGACTTGACTGGTGCCCTGTCTAAGTCAAGCATCCCAAAGTGACCCAGACGTGCTATGAACACATTGAATTTGCTGCCATTTTAAGCAACAATATCCCTAAATGTCAGTTCCTCGGGGGATGCTGGATGAGGGTTTAGAGAAGAGCGATCAGACAGAGGGCGATAAGAAAAACGTACTTTCAAAGCCTCATTTTCCAAATGTATCTGTCACTCCTGCAGCATGCGCCCAGACACAGAGACGTCTGCCCTCTCACTCAGACTCAGTCTGCATTATCCATGTTTACATTTGCATTGCATGTTCTGCCAAACTCTCTCCAAGGCTGTGACAAAGCAGAAAATAAATACATTTGATGAACCGACCATTCTATGAACACAGAAATCCTTTTTTATCACTTTCACAATGAAATTTTGCACCAAAACCATGGGCACTTCAAAAACAAAAGTACAATATCTTGCTAAAAGTATTTACATGTTTGCCTTTAGATGCTTATAACGGATGTCCCATTAATCTGTTTGCAGCTCTACATTTGGCAGATAAATGCACAGATAAATGTGTAGCTTTCCCTGAGATACGAACTAATGACTTTTGTGTTGCTAACACAACATTCTACTGACTGAGCCACAGGAAATGCTAGATTTTATTAGTGTCTCTGCAACTCAAGAGTCCAGTGGTGATTGATTTGCATTGTACTTTGTGATATACAGCTTTTATGCAGCTCCTCAAACATGGAAACCCATTCTATGTAGCCCTTTCTCGGATTTACCCAGTTTGGAAATCTGCCTCTGCATCCACTGCTGTCATTCCAAATCTCTTCCACTTTGTTATGCCCTAATCCCTTGCTTATAGTGGGTGTTTATTATATTTTTACTGTTATAAATACTCTATGCACTGTTAAAACCCAACCATTCACTTTACTAATAACAGTGTGCAAGCATAAAGCTATATGAGCATAATTGGAAGATTTACTGTAAATAGCCAAAGACAGATTTCTAAAAACCTATAATACACTGAGAACAAGAAGGGTGAAAACCTCTGAAAGTTCAAAGTGTGCTATTTAGTACATTTCATAGCTGTACTTGTTTTCAACACTGTACCACTTTATTTAACAGAGCTCCTGAGAGTGGCTGATTCTTCTAAAAAAGAGAGATAGTTGACCGACGTGCAGACACATTGTAGCTCTTCTAAAAAAAAACCCTTGAACTCTATACAAAAGTTCAACAGCATGCAGGCTGCATGGCACAGGGCAGAGCAGCGCAGCCCTTGAGTACATTAGAAAATCTATTGAGTCCCATGTCTGCGTGTGTCCAAATGCTCTTAGTTCATTTCCTGCTGCCAGCCTGCTGAGTCCAGGCTTTTAAATGTCAGAGTCAGAGCTGAGCAACATGTGTAGAGATGCACAACCACATCAGTAGTTCACTCAGTGGACTCGATCACTTCAGTGCTTCATCCAAGAGACTAATTCTCCAGTTCAGGACACAGCTGTGAATCAAACATGTGCTTTTGCAGTGGTTCGTAGTCTAGGGATGCAACAGCACAGATGCAGATATAAGATGCAAAAAGTAAAACGATTCATTCATTCATTTTCCAATGATTTTCCTTTTTGGGGTGGATCTCCAGCTCACATCAGGCGAGAGGTGGGTATGCCCTGTACAGGTCACCAATCCATCGCAGGGCAACACACTCACTCACACATTCACACCTAAGGTGAATTTAGATTATTTAATTAAACTAACCGCATGTTTTAGGGATTGTGGGGGAAACCAGAGTGCATGGGGAGAACATGAAAACTCCTTCCAGGAAGGTCATCGGCGAGCCTTGAAACGTAATACATGTAATATATAATAATAAAACCATACTAATCCATGTATAACCTCTTAAGCCCGAGAGTCCCTGGTACCGGGGACTTGCCCCCTTGTGCGTTACATTTTCGCTCATAGCTCACTAACCCTGAGAATAACCCACATATATTAAATACTGTTGTGTTCAGCGGAAACTCCTCTAAAAACGTATCTAATTCAATTTCATATCCGTGAACCACAGCACGAACGCCATGCAAATAAACAACAACATATTTGTTTATGTGCGATATGTATCCACAATATAAACGCAAACACCAAAACCATGGCATCAAATGAAAGCTAACAACCAGCTGAATCCAGCGATATGCAACTCATTTACATTGCATGAAGTCTTTTAGAGCAGGGAGCGAAAGTTCCCCGAAAAAACGCCAGCAAAAACCAAGCAAGCATGTAAATCTTGTCTTACCTTTGCCGTTTTTTCGACAAAAAGTTATTTCCATAGCGATAAAAGTCCGTTTGTTGTTATGCTTGTTGATAGCTTCGCGAAAACTCCATTTCGGGTCTTTTCTGTAGCTCTGCGCTCGCAAAACGACGCAATACGGAAACGTTAACCTAAAAATTTTAATACATAGGTAATCAGAAAAATTTAGTATGCCTTACGCCTATAACTTAGTATGTCGCAAAACTGGTAAAAGGAAATAACATAGTGCTTGCATTTTTTAGTTTAGAAAATTGTTTTTATTGAAAGAGTAAGCACCATAACAATCAGTTTTTTAAATAAACTTTAAATTATTTGACTGTTTTCGAAAAACTGGTACTGGATTCCTCCCCTGGAAAATGACTTAAAATAAATATATTCGTCTTGAATGGCTGCAATGACAGATTTTCTGAGAAGCTTATGAGAAGAGTGCTTTCTCGATATTCCAGGTGAGATTTCACTGGGTAACATCAGTTCAGCTCTGCTCTGTTTACATGACTTCTGAAACCTTTGAGTTCAGCACCGACATTAAAATGCTTTTAACCCTGAGAAAAAAAGACAGCAGACGCTCCTTTCATAAAATGACAAGCAAACATCATCTCCTAGCAACAGAAGCCCCGTCATGCTCCAGTCAGAGATTCAAGAGAGACATTCATAGCTAGAGGCCGGTTTGTCTGAGATGGAGGTTACTGCTCTTTATTGTGTGGGGAATGGTTTGGGTCTGGCTTTGAGACAGAACTCAGAGGATATTTGACAGTTTTCTTTAGTAGCAATTTATTAAATCCTGTGTTTAGAAATATGCTTTGTTTTCCAAATCAATGAAGAAAATCCCATTTAAGTGTTGTATTATTTAGCATTATATAGCTAATAAACCCTGTATAATGCACATAACAAGATGACAATGATGTGACTCCATGCCAATCAGAACCTACTGTGTTCCCAATAAACCTTAAACAAATCACACTCCTTCTAAATGTTTTGGCTTTAGTGCAATGAATACTGAGGGAAAAGGTACTAGAGTTGAACTCTCAAACTAAGAATACCAACCACCCCCTGCTCTGCTTTTCTCATCGATTGATTTAAATGGGAAATTTGAAACTTTTAAACAATTCATATCAAATCACAAAAATATGCCAGTTATCCTTTTATACCATTCCTCTACAACAGGGGTGCCAAACTCATTTTCACAGAGGGGACATTAGCATAATGGCTGTCCTCAAAGGGCCAGATGTAACTTAGAAATGTAAAACAGTGTAATCGAATGTAATGTAAAATAAATGTAACTACTCCTTAATGTTAAAGAACTCATTATTTATAACTTATTCAAGTGACTATTCAGTTGCATAGAAATAATTGTATGCTTGTTGTTCTAATATAAATCCTTTTGATTTTTGTCAGCTTATGAAATTTTTTTTTAGACACTCAAAACTTTTAAGCTCTCGCAGGCCACATTAGATTACATAGCGGGCCACATCTGGCCCGCGGGCCTTGAGTTTGACACATGTGCTCTACAAGCTGCATGATTTGATTCATATTTGACCCTTACAGTACAAAGCATCAATGGGTTGAAAAAGTCCAAAATTCTGTTATAATAATTTAAAAAGGGTGCTCGTTACCCATCTTTAGCACATTTATATAAACAGGTAAAGCATCGATATTCATTTTAAATGGTCTATATCAGGGGTCTCAAACTCAGTTCCTGGAGGGCCGCAGCCCTGCACAGTTTAGCTCCAACCCCAACTACACACACCTGATGCCGCTCGTTAGGTCCTTCAGGCTGTTTGTAAGCTCCAGGTCTGGGTATCTCTGAGCAGAGTTGGAAGTAAACTCTGCAGTGCTGTGGCCCTCCAGAAACTGAGTTTGAGACCCCTGCCCTAAATAAGCTTTATTGCCAGGTATATTTGCATATTTTTGTGTGCAGAGGCACTACAGTGTAACAGATTCACAAAGACAAGACAAAATACAGGTAATAAAAAAATAAATATAAATCCAAATTTATAAATTTACGAAATAGACATTCTAAATTTACGAAATAGACATTCTAAATTTACAAAAAGACATTCTAACACAGTACAAAAATAAAAATAGACATAATATATAAGGTGCCACACACATCCATATGCATTCGTCCACATACCACTGCTGTTGTTATTCTCAATAAACTTTAAGTTACACCATTTCACTCATATCATTTAATAAATTCACCATTTTACAACGGTAATTCATCTGTTAATAAATATTGGTCACACATTAAAGTGTTATGAAGGCTTGTGTGTGACACGATGGTTGGAAGGATACCATCTACTGTGATTTTGAGCAGATCTTTCAGTTTACACTGGCAGATTGTGATTAATAATTTTAGAAAGAAAAGTTGAACCTGATCGTCTATTAAACCGTGTGTTTCCTGTAATTCATCTCATTCGCATGAAACTTAAAAACCCTAACTGAGGGGATCCCAATCTGATTTTTCTCAGACCTCACTATTGAGCCAGTTTTGTTCCATATAAAGCACTCTAACAAGCAATTGAGGCCAGGTCTGTTTCTTCAGCTCCAGAGAGCTCCAGTCTAGCCTGTGTAATCAATCACAGTGTAACCATCTATTCCTGAAGAGCTGCTCAAGCAAATGAGATGCAGTCGCAGTCTCAGTAGTCAGTAAATGGTCCAGAAAGAGGTTACTCCAAGTCCAAAAATGAAAAAAAAAAAAAATCTAATTACATGTTACCCTAATGAGGTGATTAGCCTGGGTGATTTTATCTTTTTATTTAATTGCAAGATTTGTTTAATAAGTACAAGTATGTCGAAAAATGTGCATTCTGTGTTATCTATCGATCACATTCTTATCTATATATAATTGGGGCACCGTCATTTTCCAGATTTAAAGTATGTCAGTAATCATACGTTATTGAAATTATGGGATGTGAAATTCTCTGAACAAATTGTAGCTGAACTTAATCTGTTTCCAAAGAATTAACAATATTTAGGCAGAACTATGTTGTCAATGCCAGTGATTTACTTAAAAGTTAAAACAATGGAGCTTGTGTCTGTGATGTCACTCTTTAAATTGGGTGTAGACAGCCAGTGGAATGTCAGTTAATAGTCATTGGACAGAGATGGAGGTGTGGGTAGTCCTGCGTAGCTGGAAGTTGAAAAAGGTTGTCAGTCAAAATTACCAAAAATTAAAAACCTGTTGGCACAAAGCTTTAAACCTGTTATTTCTACTGTAAAGGTGAGCCCTAGAACCTGCTCACATCTAACACCAGCCTCAAGTGGACAGGTAATGAATTGCAGTTTGACTGAATTCCAGTAAAGCATTTAGAGGTTGGTACTTGGTAATAATTAAACGTTTTTAAA